CAACTTCAGAAACTCAGAAAATGTTCAGGAGTTTTGTCTTGAAAATTTTCAAGTTCCAAAAAAATGTCCAATTTTTTTTCTGGAAAATTTCTGAATTTTTGGCAGAAATGTACTCCGTTTTTGTAATAAGCTGATGTTAACAGTTTGTGCCTTTGGCTGTACCATTACTTTGTAACGGCTATTTTGTGACGTCATCTTTATGACAGCGTGTTTTCAAGTGAAGCCTATTACAGTAAATGTGGTCAAATCCATTTTGACTCCTGTCTTCTCTGTACGGATTGATAAAGAGTTGAAATCCGTTATTCATCCATTGTCTGTCTGTTTATCTCTCCAGGTGTGTTTGCAGCTCACCTATGCCGGTGTTGGCGCTCACTACAAGCATGGCAAAGTCAGGGCAGTAGCTGGTTAAACCGAAGACGGTGGTCTTCAGGTATTTGTGGTGACCTGCCAGGTCGATGAAGGTGATCATTTTGGATGAGCTCTCACAGATCTCCTCTGCTGTTCGAGACTCACTGTAGTTTACCACCTGAGCAGAATAGTGGGATCGTTAGGATCCAGGAAGTAGCAGTCGTTGCAGACATTTTGAAGTAGATATCTGCCCAGCATTGGAGCTTCCCAGTGTCAGTAAAATCAAGAGAACAGTCCTGTGATGCATATGGACACTTTTTCATCTTGTAGAGCACAATTTTTTACAGATATAATATCTTAGAAAAATATAAAGTACAAAAAATAGATTCCCATTTATTAACGACTTCTTTTGCATTTGTCTTAGCTTTGGAGTAACTAGAACCACAAATACCGACCTACTTTTCCTGAAACACAAAGCGTTCAGCCCAAATAAGAAACAATCAACCCCAAAAAGTCAGAAAATGTGGGCGTGTGTTATGACAACACAACCGTGCAAAACCTTGTTTTTATGTTTGGTATCTACAATGATTTAATATTTTACTTTAGTTCATAAAGTTTGGACACCACTTCATTATGGGAAATGTATTGTCGTTTTTAAAGAATCACCATTTTATTTCTAGTTTTAGGATTTAAAATAGAGATAAGCATCAAATTCAGCAGAAAGATGTTAGGTCTTTTTCTTTTTTAGTCTCATTCCTCATCAGTGCAAATATTGCAGGAATAAAACAAGAAACTGTGAAAAATCTGTGTTTGTTATTATTAAAAATATTATCTGATTCTTTTTTAGTTTTAGCCAAAGTTGTAAAGAGCCACTGAGTAAGAGGAATACCTCTCCTTTGCTGTTAAAGCCCAAGATTTCAAAGCTGATGCTGGAGGTGCGTCCCGTCTGGATTTCATGCAGGTGTCTGAAAAGGTTTAGCCGAGCTCGACCTCGGCCGTTATCCAACTCTCCCTGCGTCAGGACGCCCAGCAGGGTCGACTTCCCTGAGTCCACATTTCCCAGCACGGCCACACGCAGGTCCAGGAACTGAGGAATGAAAATAGATTTGGCCCAAACCTTGCAGGAAATACAGAATTATGACATGTTTACAGGCACAACGTTGCAGAGAACACACCTGCTGATCGTCAGGAACCTTTCGGACAAGAACCTCTGCAATTTTCCGGATATTTCTGTCCAGGCCATAGTCCACTTCCCTTTCTCGCAGAAGCGTTATATCAGCTCCGACCCTTCAACAAGACAAGCAAAACAAAGTATTATTTCATAAATTATAACACACTTCTTGAAGTGTACACCTCTCAGGAGTGATGGCTCCAGAGGTCAAAATCTTTTAGAAATAAAATTGTTTATCCTGGTAATATGGTTACCATAAGCATATTTCCTATATGGTAAATTAGCTCAAACAAGCAGATCTGTGTTTCGATTTTATCTGGTTCAGTTCTGCAAGAAAAATATTTAAGGCTGGCATGTTAGAGCCAATACTGACCAAGTTTTTTGAAAAAGGTTCACCCCTTGATCACCATATTGGACCACAAAATCAACAGAAATTCACAGGCCTGAAATCTGGGTGTAGTGATGAACTCTGATCTGAACCTTCAGAGCAACATAAAGACAGTTACAAAGTCTGCTGTCTATCACCTGAAGAACATTTCCAGGATTAGAGGACTAATCTCCCAGTAAGACCTAGAGAAACTCATCCAGGCGTTTATCTTTAATCGCATTGACTACAGCAATAGTGTCTTCATAGGTCTGACTAATAAATTATTCGGACAACTTCTAATCACTGAACGGCTTGACACAGAAATTCAGCTGTTCTGACTAAAACCAGGAGGATAGAGAACATAAAACCAGTTCTAATGTCCCTACACTGGCTCATGTGGCTGAGAGAATAGACTTCTGTAAGTTTATAAATCACTTGTATAGAGAAACTAATATTTGTTCTCAACTTGGTAGTTGATGTTTTGGGGGTTTTATGATAAAACTTCAGCAGGCGAATGAAAGGAGGTCATGGGGTCACCTACTTCTCTGCCATTCTCTTTAGCGTCTTGAGTGAGCCTTTCATGTCGGCCTCCGTCAGACCCACCAGCAGGCCGTTGTCTTCCACTCCGATCTGGTACACGGCCTCACCGCGGCCCTCCTGCAGGCGCCACTTCAGCTGCGTGGCCAGATGCTCGAAGCGGTACTGAGTGGGATTGACGAGCTTTAACTGGAAAAAAAACGAGAAACAAATACAAACCTGTGCAGCAGGTAAATGGAATTCAATTGTGCTTCTCTGATCACCAAAGAGATATACTTATATTTCTCATTCTTTACTCTTTTTTGATGACTTTCAAAATTATTCTTTTGCCTTATAATGGCTAAATCTAAACTGAAAGATTATGTTAACTGTTTTCTGTTTACCTGCTTGTAGATTAAAACATTTTTATGTAAACAAGATGATTTAGAGTGCACACTTTATGTGTGAAACTACATTTAATAAATGTTTTTACTTTTTTTCAGACTGTAAAATTGTTTAAAATAATCGAAAAAAAACTTTAGCTTCACTATTTGCTACCAATGCTGATGCTGGGTTTTTAATGTAGAATTATGATATAAAATGGTCTTTATTATAATTTTTATGCATTTCTTGACTTTGGAACAAGACAGTTAACACAACTTTTGTGAGAAACAAGTGACTAAAATGAAAAAACTGCTGTAATTATAAAATATGTCCTTTAAACATTCACACAATAAGATGATTGGGGCAGTGACAATTACCACTTAAAATAATAATGAACTGTAATACTGATAGCTGCTCTGCTGCTTCAGCAGTTAAAAATGCCATTTTAAAGTCAAAATTACTCCTAATCAAAACATTTAAAGATAAAAACTTAATTACCTTGTATTCAATGTTTCCTTCTTCAGCCTGTAAAAAAAACAGAAAACATGTAGAATTACTAAACACTACACCAATAAAATGTAGAGTGCTTTAACACATCAAACCTCAAAGTGGTGACCAGTCGAGCAGGATCATATTTTCTATTGTTTCAAAATTAGTCTTGTGAGCATCTCCAGCTCAAATAACTCTGAACACAGGCAGGGAACCACAGAGTATTATTAAAACTGAATTTAATTTAGAAACGTTTGCACAGGGAAGAACATGACAGAGGCGTGGACGAGGAATTGAATTGCACTTGAGTCACAAATTGAACGACTTTAGACAGACTTGACCAAATCTGTTCACACCCCTAATGGAAGCTGAGAGGCACAGGGTGTAAAAATCAATGTTATACAGTCCACCGGAGAGAAGAAAATGATTTCAGCTGTGCATTAAGGTATGACAGCAAAACCTGAAAGCAAATGAAACAGAAAAAGAAACTCTCTCCAGTAAGGAAGGTCAGCCTTGTGACTTCACTTGGATCAGATCCGTGAAAATACTTGATGTCTTACACTGAACTTAAAGCCATGAAGTAATTATGAACTAATGATGACAACATGACTGGAAAAATACCTGCTATTATATAGATTAGTGTAAACCTGCTTGATGAAAGGTTGACTGATGCTTTCTGAAGACAATAAATTACAAACTGTGCGGCCATTATTATTATTATTATTATTATTATTATTATTATTATTATTATTATTGAATTGTTGGTGGGTTTTATAGCTGATTCTTATAGGAGAGATTATGTTAAAGTTTGAGATGTTAGCCTGGGGGTTTCTCTCTAAACACGGAAGCAGATAAACCTGAAGACATTGCGCCACCATGTTTGAGGGACTCTTATCATCTGTGCTGCAGTACGGACTAACTGCCTGCGTTAATCCCGGGCCAGAACCAGGTAGCTACCTCCGGTGGTAAAATCGGTGGCGGTGTCCTGTTGTTCCTTTTCCTTTTATTCCTTCTCTTCCTGCTTTGTTTGCCTCGTCTGGCCCGCGACTTTTTGGATGATTTCTTCCCTTTGATATTTGACAGGGAGCCAGGTCCATCATGTCTGTTTCCGGGAGGAACCGCGGCAGTTTGGAGCAAATCAACCATGGTTGAGCTCAAGCAGTGATCGACCGACGGGAAACTACGGAGCTAATGGGTGATTCACGGCATTCCCCAGGACATTTCCTGCTGCATCCCACGGCTTTGATGTGTGGAGACCTGCGGCAGGTCGGATGCTCTCTCCTCAGCACCAGCAGCAACGTTAAGCTACATTTTTATGTCGAACTTCCGCCTGAAAACGCTCAAACCGGAAGCGAATGTAGGATTGTTTTCAAAATAAAACTCAAGCAAAAACATTTGACAAAAATAATAAAGAATTAACACATTTTTTAAATTTAGGTGTTTTTCAGGGAATAATCCCATTAAAATTAAACAACACAATGAGCGTAAGACTTCCAGCAGAGCTAGTTAATTTTATCCATTTACAGTGAATTTATTTATGTATTTTAAGATATTTTCTCAAATAATTACGAATTTATTCTCGCAATATTATTTGTTTATTCTCGTTTTATTCCTATTTCACTGTCCTACTACACTATTATTGTTATTGATTTATTTTTTCTAGTCTGACTATAATAATTAGTGTTATGTATGCGCAGTCATCCCGAACAGAAGGTGGCAGTGATGCTCCACTAAAATATGCCGCTTGCCACCGGAAAAGAAGAAAAATCTCTGTATTACTTCCGGGTTGTCAGCCATGTGGTAAAACAGCTGTGCGTCAGGGTTCTGTTTACAGTGTTTTTATTTTTCTTGGTTCTGCCTCTTGTAGAAGAAGAAACTGAAGATGAAGAGAAGAGAGAAACAGCGGCAGGAAGCGGAGCGGAAGAAGAAGAAGACTGTAAGTTGCAGCGAAGAGGAAGACTCTGATGTGGAGAAGAAGGTTTCTCAGTTTAACCTAAGAGGATTGGAGGCAGAGGAGCTGCAATTAACCGGACACGATGATGAAGATCAAAACCAATCAGGTGACGGGGCTGAGGAAGACTCTGGGGGCAACGAAGAAGAAGAGGTATCGGAGGGGGAGAGTAATGATGAAGAAGATGATGATGAAGAACTAGAAGAAGAAGGAGAAGAAGAGGACGCTAATGCAGAGGAAGATGATGATGACGATGATGAAAAGGAAGAGGAGGAACATACTGGTGATGGCACAGAGTTGCAAACAGAGGAACGCATCAGGAAAGGTGAGAGTGACTGTGCCCACCTATACATGACATAAGTTTTGATTGGCCAGATAGATGAGATCTGAGATCTGATTGGTCAAGTATTTTCCAGTATCAGTCCACATCCCTGATGGCTTTATTGCCGATCCGGCTGCCAATGGATTATAAGCTGTTGTACTGGCTTTCCATTATGCCTGTGGCAATATAAATAATCAGTTAATTGCATAAAAAATTAAATGAGCTCGATAATTTCCTGGCTGATGATTTATATTTTTTGAAGGGCAATTTTGTGTACAGAGACATAATATGTTTTATTTATGGTTTCGATTGTCATTGGTTTTAATTTCCGTTTTATTTATTGTTTTTGCTTGTCCTGTTTTATTTTGGATATCGGTGACACTGTTGCTTTATTGTAATGTCAATAAAGCTTTTTTCCATTGTCTAACCTGAAACATATTTTTTTGCTATGCTGTTATTTTTTCTTAACTTAAATCTAAGTAAAAACAAACTGCTTTCAAAATGAATTCTCTTTTTACGTTGATACATATTTTCCTACCGAAAACAATGTTTTTGGAGGCATGAAAATATGTAATAAAAAATAATAAATTAATTGCATGATAAATTAAAATGAGCTTGATAATTTTCATTCTGATGACTATTAATTTTCAGACCATTAAACCATTTAAATATGGTTTTTATTTTTGTGTTTTTTTTTTTTTTTTTGGTCTGTTTTATTTTGGATACTTAAAATATCTTCCAGTTCCAGTGTTGTGTGTTTACAAAATTAAAGGTTATTTGTCTTTGAGAGGCCAAGCTTGTATCATTATGGTATTGTCAATAAATCATATATTACTTAAACATGGTCTCAAAACAATATTATAATTTATCATCATAATTACTGGAAGAATTTATCAGCCAGTAAAATGTATTGTTACAGAACTAGCTATGACTTATTTTGGTTTTAACTGTAGTTCAGTTTTGTTTCTTACTCAGTAAAAATCCTCATTATGATGCATTTTGTGATGTTTTCTTCCTATGCAGAACTGTCCAACATGCCCTTTGAGGATGTCATTAAGCTGCAGCAACAAGTGGGAACTAAAGCGTTCAATGAGGCTGCATTCCACAACAAAAAATGCCGACCTGTCAGTAGTAAGAAACGGCTGAACAAAAACAGGTCTGTTCTTCCAAATCATCCTAATCAAAAATCTAGAAGTGCAACTGCTCTCTCCTGATCACTGTCAGCTTGTCACACAGTGTGCTTTAATTTTAGACCAATGGAAATTTCAGCAAAGATTCCACCGACCTTCCTACGTCAGGTCATCCCAGTCAAGAAATCAGTGAGTAAAACCAGCACTGACAAAACCACAAATCTTCTGTTTGCATGAAAATATTGTTGTTGTTTTTTTTGTGCTGCAGACCAGGAGAGATCCTCGATTTGACAGCCTGTCAGGAGAATACAAACCAGAGATTTTTGAAAAGACATACAAGTTTATTACTGACCTCAAACACAAAGAGAAAGAGGTGAGAAAACCAGCATCAGATGCCATGAAAAGTCTCTCTATGTAGGACGTGTGACATGCAGTCTGTCCCTGCAGGTCATTGAGAAGCAGCTAAAGAGGACAAAGGCTGACCACAAGAAGGAGAAGCTGGAGTTCCTGCTGAAGAGATTGGTAAGAAGTCCAGACACTTCAATCTTTTTATCACTTGTCAGTTTATTTGTGAAAAAAACACAAAAACTGAATTGATTCTTAACAGTGCTATGTTTCTCTGCAGAATGTGACATTAGTCTGTAAATTTAATTCTGCAATATTTTGCTAAAAATATTAATAAATATTTCTCTGCATTCAATAAAGTAATTTAAAATTAAGTAATATTAAGTTAATACTAATAAAAAGTATAGCAATCTGTTGTTTGTGCATAAATTTCTGTTATTTGGCAGTATACAGATAAAACCTGCTTTCATTTGATTCTTAAAATAATATTTAAGGTTCTCTTTATGTGTCCTTCTTGACAGGGCCACACTAAAAGCTAAGATGGGCCAAATTTGGCCCCTGTGCCTTGACTTAACACACATGGCTTAGAGGGCTTTAAAAAAAAAAAAAAATCAATAATTGTGTTTGGATTAAGCTCCCAGTGCAAATGGTGGTCAGCCTTTAGATTTCCATGTGTTTGTGCAGAATAACCAGGAGCGAGCGAGACAGATCCAGGAGCAGCAGAGAGAGAGAGAGCTGCAGTTCAAGAAGCAGCAGCGAGAGCGAGCCAGTCGGGGAGAACGGCCATTTTTCCTCAAGAAATGTAAGAGCGAATCCACAGAGTTCTGTTTCCTGTCCCTCACACATCTTGTGCTTTCACATTCACGTTGTTTTAAAAAAAATATTATCGTACACAAAGGATCGATGCCAGACAGAGAAGCTGAACTACTTTTAAATACCGTGTTAGAATATAAAGTAGGGCTGGACGACATGGCTGAAAAACATATCACGATATAAGCGTTTCATATCAGACGATATCTATAACTATTGATTTATTTTTTTTTGTTTTTAAATATCTGAACTACTGCCACACTATTGATGTGACATTTCCTGTTTTATCCAGTTTTCACTCCACACTGTTTATTTTTCAGCAGTTATGAGGCCCGGTGGTTCTTACTCAACAGGTTGTTGCTAGGTAACCAAAGAGTTGAGCCATTAATCTTGCTTAGCTAGCCGTGAGAAGCTGAACGGCTTAAAGCTTTTCCTCTGCCCACATCTCCCAGAATGCTGTGCAGTTCTGGATCAGAGTTCAGTGAAATTATTGAATATTGTACAAGACGTATCATATATTGATTTTGATCATGTCTGTGGCAATATATTGGTCGTTAATAGAGTTTACTTGTGAATGAAAGGATAAATTGCATAAAAATCTTTTTGGTTTCTCAGATATCTAGACTAGACGTAGACTTGATTGGTTTCATAAAAGCTAAAACAACTCGTTGGTAAAACATTCCTCTGCTTTATTTCTCTCCTCAGCGGAAAAGAAGAAGCTGCAGCTGGCCGAAAAGTATCAGGAACTGAAGAAGAGCGGCAAACTGGAGAACTTCCTTAGCAAGAAACGGAAGAGGAACGCAGGAAAAGACCGCAGGAAGCTTCCCAGCAAACAGCTACACAACAAAAAGCCCTTTTCCTCCTGAGAAGTGTTGAAGAGCGATCTGCTGAGAAATGTTTAGTCAGCACGGCTATAGAGACTCATTTCAGTGGTCCGATGCTGTTGGTTCCTCACATCAGGTGAAGTTGTTCTGTAAAAGCTCTTTTTTGTGATCAAAGATGATGGGATTCATGAATGTTCATAAAAAAAATACTAAAAGCGTGTTTGAAGATTGTGTCAGATGTACAAATGGTTCTTTTTTACATGTAAAAATAATAAAGGATTTCCTCAGTACTTTAAATGCTCGGCTCACCTGCCTGCTTATTCAAGTATTTTATTTATCCGAAAGAGAAATTAAATGTAAATTATGTCCAATCCACAACAGTCCTTGTGGATGGCAATGGGGTGAGCGGGGATGATCTCCTGTAGCAGTCAATCTTTCAGCGAATCTGAAGAGGCCTCTGACTGAAGACAGTTGTTTTATGACGGTGTCATGGCTGTTGTGATGTGCCAGCCGTTCGGAAGCTTATCTTTGTAATAAAACCAGACAAAAGTGGCCATAGGCATATTTTCGTTTATAAATCAGTAACTAGCTTTCTACCAGTATATCTAAATACCTATATATGACATAATCAGAGCAACTACAACCTCCTCATGTCTTTATTACATTTAGAGTTCCTTTAGTGTGACACAAACTTCTATTATACTAACAACAGGAGCCATAGTAGCGTAATTAAACCAAAGAGTTTTAAACAACTAGACAATAAGAAAACACTGCTGGATCAGTTTTAATATTTTATTGCTGTAATCTTATTTTCATTTTATTTACAGCATTAATTGTACTGATGTGTCCATTTTAAGAGGATGCATTTGAAAATGAGGCATCTCAAAGATATTTACCCGAATAATTAAAGGTGGAATTAAAAAATATATATATTTTCAGTTAGATTTTTTTTAATTTACTGTTTTTATGAAGATGTGTAAGCTGTTAATCTTTTTTTCTGTTCTCTAGCAATTTTGGTAATTTTTTAGCCACCTTTTTTGCTGCTGGATGTTTTTGGTCAACTTTGAGAACTGATTTTTTTTGTTTTTACGTTTTGCTATATTCCACAAACTCTACTCTTGAAATATGACTAAAATAGAATATTCACCATCAAGAGCTTTTTAGGATTATTTTTCTTTTATATGTTGTCTTAAAAAGTTAGTTGGTTTATAATTTGGAAAATTAATTCATAAAAAACCCTGTTGGAGAGTACTGAGTACAGGTATCCATTTGTAATAAATGGATACAAAATGAGTTGGTGAATGGGTGAAATGATCCGGCTATGAAATGAGTCCATTTGTCATTGATATATTTGTTTGTAGGTGTACATGTTTTGATTGTAGGTACCAGGAAAACGAGTATGGTGCAAAATAAAACATTATATTTAAAGCAAGTGATTAAAACATAAATAACCTTCCAAGAATATTTTTACTGTAAAATGTAAATAACAGATGAGTCACTCACTTTCACTCCAGTTGATGAACTCAAAAAATCAAATCAATTAAACTTTTACAAACACATAAGATCACGTTGTGCATCTTTGCCAATATTCACAACTCAAACCCTGAAAGAAGAGAAAAGATGGTGCCGCTCTCACAGCGGCGTGTCCAGAAATCATTCTGTCTTCCCTTCCACAGTTTTCTGTCTGAGCTCCACCTCAGAGCGAACGCTGCTCTTCGTCGCTTTCTGTAAGACCCACGTGCTCAGATGGATCAGAACAAATGCACCCCCAGCCGTCCACAGCCAGTTTTTACGCAGCCAGCTCTCAGACTTCATTGTGACTCGCTGAAAGGCAGAAAGAGAGTTTCAGGACTTCCAGATTTATATATTTTAATTAAATATTGGTGTTTGGTTGGACAGTGAAGGTAGTTTTGATAAAGTCTGTTACTAAAAGGTTAACATCATCTTAAAACATTGCAAGACTTAAAATAAGGATACGACACCAGCTTTTACCAACCAGCACTTAATTGACTGCACTGGCTCCCTTTTTGTCAAATAGATTTTAAAATGCTGCTTGTGGTCTCTTGAAAACTAAACTGTCTTGGTCCAAATACATTCCCAAGTAGCTAGCCAATAACAAGACTAGATTACTGAAGTGTTACCAGGACCTGAACTAAATAATGTGATGCAGCTCATCAGCTCTGGAACAAACTCCCTGAAAACCTGATAATATTCAGGGTTCTGTTGGCTCCTGTAAATCAGGACAGAAACATTTTTAGCTTTCTAACAATCTGACTAATGAACTTTTCACCTGTTTGAAGAGCAAAACTAGATTTGAACTTAATTTCATGCAAATTTGTCTTTAAAGGTGACCTATTATGTTTTCATTGAATAGGTCAGGATAGGATAAGCTGCACAAAACATGTTTGTTACATGTTTCACGCAAAATCATCCTTAATCATTCACATTAAGACTAGCTGAGCAAACCTGACGGAGGTGAGCTTGGGTTGCTAGGTAAAGACCTGGGCTTCACTGAAGTTGCTAGGTGACAGGCAGTGCCTGCCGATTTGTGCCATTATATTTGGAAGGTTTTTGAAACGGTTCATTTTCCAGACACCAAAAAACAATAATGCCAAAAAATGGCTGAGTGTTTTTTTAAGCGCTTGGGCTGTATATAGAAACAGTTGAGACCTAAATGGAAGTACAAAAAATTTGCAAAATGTGAATTTAATAGGTCCCCTTTAATATCTACCTTAGCTGCCTGGGCCATCAAGAGGACAAACGAGGAACTGCGTAAAGAGAGCAAAATCATATTGCAGCCACATACCTTAGTGCATTACTTGCTTTTGGCTGGAGGAGGAGCAGCAGCAGCAGGAGGTGAGACGTATGCAACGATGCCAGGCTCAGGAATGTACTCCTCTTTGTTGTGGAACGCTGGGTTTGTCTTCAAGTTGTACCAACCCAAGTGAATCAGTCCCAGACTTGTGCCCATCACAATCAGGACTTTGTAGTTATTCCAGAATGTCCGCAGACCCATGACTGACAAGGATGATGAAAGCAAACAAAGCTGACGTCCAGATAAAGCAAAGAGTCACACATTAAACATATTAAATCAACATTAAACTATCAAGTTAGTCTGACTCAACACTGCTGCCCTAAACCTACAAATAAAACATACAGACACAAAGGTTACTGAGAATAAAGGGAAGATATGGTGGTATATATATGTTGTACCCCAATTCTAGCTCATTGAATCTAATAATACCATAATATTCTGATATTTATTGGCGGTCATCGCAGTGTTAATAAAAACGGTTTTAAAATGCAGTCATACTGCTCTAAGATACATTCATCCAACCAACCCCCATTTATCAAAATTCAAATTCAAAAATACTTTATTAATTACGAAGGGAAATTAAACAATAAAAGGGTATTTCACTACAAGAGTAGTATCAAGTAATACAACTGTGCTGTGCACAAACATTAAGCATTCAAATATTTTCTTGTTTTAACTGAATTGACAAACATTTCAGGAATATTCTGACCAATGGTTATCTACTTTATGCAATGGGAATATTTCTTCTGTACAATGGAGCAAATTTAGTTTCCGAACTAATCTAAAACTTTTATATTTAACGTAGAAAACACGGTGTAAAGGTTTAAAAAACATGAGGGTTTAAAAAACATTTTCAATAAAACGACAAACTTGGATATGGATTGAAGAGAACCTTTTCAGTATTTTTCTATATATATTTTAGATACATTTAAACAACACCAGGTTTTCTGATAAACCTAATACTGCACACAAGTCTTAAAGGTTTTGGACCAGATAAACAGGGAAATAAAACAGATTCGGGTGGTGATATAAGCAGAGTCTCACCTTCAGCAATCAGCTGCTTCTTCTCAGCAGGTCGCCATTGTTGTGCCGCCGCTGGTAACTGGTGATGTGCCTGAACATTTTTTTTCTGCCAGAGTGTTTACGGTAGAAGAAAAGCCGTACCAGAGCATGAAACCTTTAATTGAAACGTGCCTCATTTTAGATTTAAAAATTTCAGCATGTTTAAATTAAAAGAAAACTCAACGATCGTTGAATCATATTTAAAATCAGGCCAAAACCTGGACAACTACACTTATGCCACTTGATGACGCAACAGGGGGCGGGGCCTGTGTCTGAGAGCAGAGACCTATGTAAACATTTCATTCGTGCCTTCTCTCCTTTCTTTTTCTGCGTATTTCTCTTTTTTTCTCCGTTTCTTTTTAGTAAATTCACTTTATTAAGAACACACATCAGTATGACTGCCTTTTAGGGACAATGTAGGTAGAAAAAAGGAGGAGTAAATTTTTGCTAAAAAAAGTTTTAGATTAATCTAAAAAAAATTCTAGAAAAAACTTGGAATTTCTATGTTTGAAAAGTCAAAAATTGGCTAGAAAGAACTTGGAAATTTTTTAATTAATCTGAAAAAAAAAGTCCATTGCAAAAGAGTAAAAAGAAAGTCCACAGTATCACAATTTCAAAAGAAAGGCTACAATGTCATATATAGCTTTTGAATAAACTGAGCTTAATCCAGGATATCTCAAAGTTATATAATTTCTTGACTTTTTTTTTTTTTACCTCCATGAGATTCTGAAATGTTCGATTGAGATTATTTCAAAAAGCTTGATTTATTTATCCCATTGGGAAGTTAAATGCCATAGCTTAATCTAGTATTTTCAAAGCATTGTTGTGATTGGCGGTACTATGGGTAGAACTCATCTTTCTGTGAATCTGAGGAAACTTCTGAATAAAACACATGACATAAGGTAGTCACTCTCATTCTGAGGACATTCACATTCCACTGCTCCTTTCCAGTTAAATTGAGTAATTGATCAGATGCAGTGTGTTTTGAAGGAGAAAATGTTTGGATGTATTTATATCAGCACCACACATCTAAGAATTTCTCCCCTGCGGTGCATCAGGATTTACCTATTTGGTAACACTTTATTTGAAGGGGGTTGAATAAGACTGTCATGACACTGTCATAAACATGACATAACACCTGTCATGAACATGAATAAGCCTTCATGAATATTTATGACTGTTGTCATAAAGTGTCATTCGGTAAATTATGACACTTTTAATACAAAGTTGACATTATTCAAAATGTCTGTTATGACAACTTGACATTAACCAAGAAATCATTACTGATATAAATTTGTTATAAAATAATTACTGATTGCACTTTAAAAATTAGGTAACTTTATGTTATTAAAGGTAAAGTTTAAACAGTAATGATTTCTTGGTTAATGTCAAGTTGTCATAACAAAGACATTTTGAATAATGTCAACTTTGTATTAAAAGTGTCATAATTTACCGAATGATGCTTTATGACAACAGTCATAAATATTCATGAAGGCTTATTGATGTTCATGACAGGAGTTATGACAGTGTCATGTCAGTCTTATTCAACCCCCTTCAAATAAAGTGTTACCACCTATTTTAGTCTCAAGATGCTGCTACTGCCTTCCACCTTCTTGAGATGTGATCTTGCTGCTGCTGTTTTCTTTAGGTCTACTAGCCTCAAAATAATGGCAAATATAAATCCCTGCAGATCTTTAATTTTTCAAATAGATCTGGTTATTTAATTTAATTTAATTTCATACATTAGCATTTTTCACGTTGTAAGGCCTATTTTCCCAATAAATACTACTTTAGGATGAAGATGTAAATTGAGTTTAGGTTAGGTTTTAGGCTAGGCATATCCTGGTCAGAGTTAGGCTATAGAGATGAATGGACAATGAACAAAGGTCAGAGGGGCGGCCCAAGCCTTTCTGGGGCCTTAACTAGCAATTCCTTGAAAAGTCAACACAAAGTCTTTGTGAAGATAAAAAAATTAATAATAGTTAAAAAAACATGCATATTATGCTTCATACCTGATCAGCTGCACTTATAAAGATTGCTGTTCCCCAGTTTTTATCGGCTGTATGCTGTTAAGTGCATTTGAACTGTTAAATGGGTATTTAATGTGAGATGGTTTTATTATCAACATGGCGGGTTTCAACTTTCTTGAACTGGTGGAGGAGGGTTCTTTGAGTACCTTTGAAAAACACTACACTTGTGACCAAGTCCTGAATAGCATTCGTCATGCGCTTTCGTTTACATTTACTTGACAAATTGAATTTCACGTTTCAGTCAATTTCCTTGTAAGCACAGGGACTCATGTGAATATATAGGAAGAATGAAAGATCCAGAAGTCAAACAGCTAGACCACAATGAGTCTGTGTGGTAGTTAGTGGAACATGGGAACAAAACAATAAAGAATGTAAAGGTAAATAGTGAAAAACATGCAAAAGAATGTGTTTCACAGAACTTTGAGACAATGCCAAAAATATAAAAGGACAGTCCTAGAAAATGCAACATGTTTATGGCATTTAGTTGATTGCAAAGAATCAAAGTTAGCTGTATTAACCAAGTTTGTGCACAGAAACTAGGAATTTGACTTTGGTTCCTCTTATAATACCAGGCACTGTACTGACATCCTAATCCGATGAAAGAGTTTCACTCTTACATGACTAATATTAAACTAATGGATTTGTATTTGATTCCTTGGGATGTCTTCTGCTAAACTAATTCAAGAACCTTTACAGATCTACAGAAGTAGATTGTAGAGGTTGCTTTGGGGCAAAAACCAACCAAAAAATGTTGAATAATTGAATTAAAATCAGATTTGGTAATTATTTCTAAATTAAAAGTGTGAAAACTTTAAAATGATCCTTAGGATTTTTTGTTAAAAGTGAATCCTGCATATATAAACTAACATAAATTAATACAATATGTTCATAATGAATAAGTAAACATTTAAGGCAGACAGAAAGAGAGCAGACCTCACCTCCCTAAAAAGACCCTCCCTCTGACTGTGCCCCCCCCATGCTGTAAATAAGGGATCGTATAAGGCAGCGAGAAGAGATCTGATCAGCAGAGCACCCTGATCGTTTTTTTCTCCATCCTGTCAACATGAGGTTTGAAGAGATACTCAGCAACATCGGTGGATTCTCCAGATTTCAGTTTTTCATGTTGTCCATCCTGTGTCTGCCTCGTGCCATTCTTCCCCTCCACTTTCTCCTGCACAACTTCATCTCTGCCACCCCGCCTCACCACTGCTCCCTCAGTAAGCTGGAGAAAAGCAATGACAGCGCCTGGTCCCCTGACCCTGAGACTCTGGCCCTCTGGATCCCCCAGCACGACGACGGCTCTCTCAGCTCCTGCAGAGTCTACAACTCCCCACAAACCAGCAACCTCAGCCAGGAGAACACGACTATGATTTGTCCCGATGGGTGGACCTACGACAAATCACAATTTAGCTCTACGACGGCCTCTGAGGTAAAATTTGAATCAATTAAAACTTTAAAAATGCTTATTTCTTTCATAAAAGCTCAGCAGAAGAAACATTTTAATGTTAACAGGAAATGCTGGTAACTAATCAATGTGAGAGAACTGAGTTTGGGTTGGTCCGATTAGTTGATAATTTATATTGAATTGTATAAAAGTTGAGACACAGCCGATGCTAGAAGCAACAGATGAAAGAACTTCTTTGTATTCACACCGATCAGCTCCCCAAATTTATGAAATAAAATTCCACTTCATCCACTCATGAATTGGTGCTTCTGTTTTTCTGTTTTTAACATCGTCCATGGACTTTTATGTTGTTTGAAATGCCTGGCTGCAGAACAAATTTCCCCCTTGTGGGACAATAAAGGATTTGAACTGGGCATGAACTTTCTATGAAGGAATTTTGCAGATCTCTACATATTCACTGTTTCATTTGAATGAATATCAACCAGAAGGATGTGACTTACATTTATTTTGTTAACTGATTTATATGGGGACCAGAATCCCATTAAACATAAATAACGTGTAGTAAAATGTTTTAAAGCACAATATTTTTCACTATCACCTATAAGATTTGAATTCTAACACAAGAATGACCTGGGTTCAAATCCTTGTTTTCTGGGATGGGTGGATGAAAATTTTATTATTTCTGAAAAAATGTATCTCCATAATTCATGAAAATTCTTAATTAAGGCAAACAATTAAATCAAAAGTCAAGATTTGTAAGAGTAATGGAAGTAGGAGTGGATGAAATGGCAATGCGAGTCATGAATCAGCATCTTTTACATGAGACAGACGTACAACAACATAGTGTCTTTTGTAGGCCGCTGTAATACGGACTGCTACAGGAGATCCTACACTCAGTCTGTACAATAACTCATTGAAAAACTTTGAAAAATATAAATTAAAGCAGCATTTTTTTTCTTTATAGGATCAATAAAGTATTTTTAAATAAAAAAAATGAGTTCATGAAGAAGTGAAAAGGTAAGATGACCCAAATCTATTTTATGTTTTTTTTTGTTTTTTTTTTTTGTTTTTTGCATCTGTATACTTGTTTTTGGTGTCACTTTATTTTAACTCTGTTTAAATTCAGGAGTTTTATAACCTTTGACCTTTCCTCAGCTTCATTCAGACCAGGTGACTGTTCATGTCCCCGATGAACAAACCGAACGGGCAAACAGACATCAAAATTAATTTGAAACCTAAAGAGATCATCAATTAAGAAACTGAAAAGTTGGGTCACACACTTTAAAACATTTCTGCTTCCTTAAAGTGGGATCTGGTGTGTAACGACAAGCAACTGAATCATGCACTTGCCACCTACTTCTTTCTTGGAGTGATGTTTGGAGCCATTGTCTTTGGACAGCTTTCAGACAAGTAAGTTAATCCAAAACACTTAATTACACACATCAATAATAATTTTATAAGTAAATTACAGTTTCAGTATAGTCCTCAGACTTTAAATATTTGCAACACTCAGCTAAAACTAACAAAATTAAAGTTCAACATAATTTTTTTCTCATGTTTCTTCATTTGAACTCAGAACCTTTTTGCTGCAAGATAACAATTACTGTTAAACGTATTTTATTCCCGACTCATTAGTGTTTTCACATCTTAAATAATTTCCCAAAAGTACTCCAGGAGCTAATAACCATATTTATTTCTAATGTAATTCTCAATTATTTGTGTTCTCTTTTTTGTTGTCCTTTTTCTCCTTTTTGGATTTTGAAGTCCAGCAGAATGACATCTTGAGACATTTTTTAAACTTGGAGATAATTTTGATCAAAAGATTTGTGTTTATTTTCATTTACATATCAATAAACAGGCCTTTTGAGGCCAGACTTTCCCAAAGGGACAATAAAGTATTTTCTATTGTATGATTATATAATAAAAAAGAGAGGAACCTAGAAATAAAAAAATTATGGCAAAAACTAAAAAGCAAAGTCACAATACTATCCCATTGTTTGTGGAAAAATGAGGGATGAATCAGGTGCATTGCAGCATTTTACTACAGTCCACAGAAATCTTAGCACTCTCAGTAAACACGATGTGTGTAACATGACCTTATCAGTCATATTACAAAACTGAGATTTTCGAGTAAAGGAGAATGTAGCAGAAAATTAATAAATTGGTGTATGTGTGTGCTAAATCAAATATCTTTACTTAAAAAGTCATCCAAGCAATAAAAAATTGCAATTTCACACAGCTGTCATGTGTTTTGTGTATTTAGTAGCGACTTTTGTTCAAGACATGTCAGCTGCCTCTTTGCTAATAAAACAGTGAATTTGTGCACACGTGGCTGTGCAATGAGAATCAAACAACTATCTTCCAGTTACCCAATACCTAATACCAGTGATTACAAAACTGGATCCACATGAGCGGTAACACTAACTGTTTTATTTCTGTTTATTTCAGACATGCTGAGTTTACTTGTAATGTGGTTGAGGTGTAGAAAAAGAAGCTTTCGATGTGCACACGTGTCTATCTATCTATCTATCTATTACAATTACAGTTTTTTCAGCCTCTTTTTCACTCTGTATTCTCCAATTAACAATTAATCGATTACTAATTCAGTTTACGATTATTTTAATAATTGATTAATCATAATTAATCTATTTCAGTCCTAATCCCAGTAATTTGGAATTAATGGAATTAAATTCTCTCTCTCTCTCTCTCTCTCTCTCTCTCTCTCTCTCTCTCTCTCTTTTTCTCTATATTTATCTCTTTCTCATTATTTGTTTCTGTGT